ATGCATCCTTAAGGTTTATCATTCCATGCAAGTTTGGTCAACATAGGGCTTTAGTTATATGCCAAATGAAATTTTCACACCAAAAACTGCACCAAAAATGTTAACCTGCTCCAAAAACATTAACCTGGTAATTCCTTTGCTGAAATTTGCAGCATCTGAAACTTTGTCTGGTTCAATAAAATACACTAAAACCATCTTCCATGCATATCTAATCAGCTATAGGACACAGAAGTAGTTAAAAAGAAAACTGCTCCAAAAAACTTAACCTTAACCTGGGACGCCGACACTCGACGCCGAGCTAAAAATGTATCATATTCACAAAAATTTGAAAATAAATGAGCTAAAAACAATATCAACTTAAATTACTCTTACCAAATACCAGTCAATATAATCTCCTTGTTCTCAATTTGAATTAACAAAATTAATTACAAACATATAATTTTTACAAATTGATTCTCTCAATTACTAAAATCTAAGTCTATGATTTTGTTTTATACATACCCTGGTATTTTTTTCAAAGTGTGTTAAATTTCCCATGGTAAAAAATGTTGATGTACATTCTTAACGCAGGCACGTAGCATCGATTTTGAAAGTGGGGGGGCCAACCACAGAAATTTTTTTTTCACTTACCTGAAAAAGTTGACAAGCAAAAAAAAAAAACAAAAAAACAAAAAAAAACAAAGGAAAATTGCCCAAAGTCGAAAATCCTATTTCAATGGGGGGGGGGGGGGGGGGGGGGTTAGTGGCAAACTTTTTTCACTACCAATTCCTTTCAACATCCAATTTTTAAGCTTACAATACTATAATTCCTTCATATTAATTTACTTTAGTATAAAGTGGGGGGGCCAACCAGCCTTTCAATAAACATTTTCAATAGTATAAGTATTGTTGGCAAAAATTTTTTTCAAAGTGCGTTGATTTTGTCCCAAATTTAAAGCACATTGAAAATTTTTTTCAAAGTGCATTGCCACAATGCCACACCAACATTTTATTTCATACATCTTTGAGACATCCATAATTAAATATGGTTTCAGCATTAAAAGGCTGATAATTGCTTTATTATTTTATATGATTTTTTTTGGTAATTTTTTTTTTTTTAAAGAAAATGAAAAAATATCCAAATTAGATGCTTTAGACTTAAAATTTTTCTGTAAATGAAAGCATCATATGAATATCTAATAAAATATGCATAGAAAAGCTGTATACATATTTAATTTTTAAAGAAAATATAATATATGAATAAACAAGAGGCCCATGGGCCACATCGCTCACCTGAGCACTATGGCTAGGAAAAAGTAGTTTATTATTGAAAAGTTTAAATCCAAAAGTAGTCCCATGACCAATCATGGCTTTGCTATTCTTGAGAAGATGATTTTTAAAGAATTTTCCTATATATGTTTATGTAAAACTTTGGTCGGCCATTCTGGCCCCGCCCTACCCCCGGTGGTCATGATTTGAACAAACTTGAATCGACACTACCTCAGGATGCTTCCATATAAATATGATCAATTATGGCTTCAGTTTGTTATTCTTGAGAAGTAGATTTTTAAAGAATTTTCCTAATATTTCTATGTAAAACTTGGGTCGGCCATTGTGGCCCCGCCCTACCCCCGGGGGTCATGATTTGAACAAACTTGAATCGACACTACCTGAGGATGCTTCCATATGAATATGATCAATTATGGCTTTGTTATTCTTGAGAAGAAGATTTTTTGAGAATTTTCCTATATATTTCTATGTAAAACTTGGGTCGGCCATTGTGGCCCCGCCCTACGCCCGGGGTTCATGATTTGAACAAACTTGAATAAACACTACCTGCGGATGCTTCCATATAAATATGATCAATAATGGCTTTAATTGTTATTCTTGAGAAGAAGATTTTTAAAGAATTTTCCTATATATTTCTATGTAATATTTGGTCGGCCATTGTGGCCCCGCCCTACCCCTGGGGATCATGATTTGAACAAACTTGAATCTACACTACCTGACGATGCTTCCATATAAATATGATCAATTATGGCTTTGTTATTCTTGAGAAGAAGATTTTTTAAGAATTTTCCTAATATTTCTATGTAAAACTTGGGTCGGCCATTGTGGCCCCGCCCTACCCCCGGGGGTCATGATTTGAACAAACTTGAATCGACACTATCTGAGGATGCTTCCATATGAATATGATCAATTATGGCTTTGTTATTCTTGAGAAGAAGATTTTTAAAGAATTTTCCTATACATTTCTATGTAAAACTTTGGTTGGCAATTGTGCCCCCCCTTACCCCCGGGGGTCATGATTTGAACAAAATTGAATCGACACTACCTGAGGATGCTTCCATATAAATATGATCAATAATGGCTTTGTCATTCTTGAGAAGTAGATTTTTAAAGAATTTTCCTATATATTTCTATGTAAAACTTGGGTCGGCCATTGTGGCCTCGCCCTACGCCCGGGGGTCATGATTTGAACAAACTTGAATCTACACTACCTGAGGATGTTTCCCTATAAGTTTCATCTTTCCTGGCACAGTGGTTCTTGAGAAGAAGATTTTTAAAACATACCACCAAATTTTCATTAATTCCCAATTATCTCCCCTTAATGAGGGCGTGGCCCTTCTTTTGAATAAATTTGAATTCCCTTCACCCAAGGATACTTTGTGGCAAGTTTGGTTGAAATTGGCCCTGCGGTTCTTGAGAAGAAGTCGAAAATGTGAAAAGTTTACAAACAGACAGACGGACAGACAGACGCCGGACAAAATGTGATCAGAAAAGCTCACTTGAGCCTTCGGCTCAGGTGAGCTAAAAAGTCTCTAGCCTTTCTTTACATATTTTATTATACCCCCCGCTTGAAAAGCGGAAGGGTATTTATACCCCCCGCTTGAAAAGCGGAAGGGTATATAGTAATCGTTAATTCCGTCCGTCCGTCCGTCCGTCTGTACGTCCGTCCGTCTGTCTGTCCGTCCGTCTGTTACGCTTTGGGGTACCCATCTCTTATCCGTAACTCCTCTCATACCACTGAATGAAATTTGATGAAACTTTCACAGAATCTTTATTACATATTGCCATTGTGCACCTCCTATTTTACTTTTTGATCCGACACATATTTTGGGTTTCCCGGCCACAGGAAAACATGGACTTTTTCACCAGTTATAACCATAGGGGAGGCGGGGGGTATCATTTAGTGAGCTCATCGCTCACAGTACCTCTAGTTAGATATTCATATGATGCATTTATTTACAGCAAACTTTTAAATCGAAGGCATCTATTTTAAATATTTTTTTTTTCATTTTCTTTGAAAAAATTCAAAAAAATTCATATAAAATAATTAAGAGCTAAATATTGGTCTTTCAATGTTGAAACCATATTTTAAAAGAAAGATATCAACTCAGAGACTGAATAAAGGGCAATAACTCTAGTTCACTTCAATTTGGTCTAAATTTTATATAAACAATAGAACAACAATTGAAAGATGTTCAAAAGGCAATGACAACAAAATGAATATAATATACACAATGAAATTAAATACAGTGAGTGAAATGAAAATTGAATATGAGCAGATGAAATAACAAAATATTGGCAGTCTTATTTAAGAATATATACTCTCTGTATAGTGAGCAGGTATAAGGGAGATATTCTCTACTCAGTACCAAAAATTTCAGTATACATGTACTTTGATATTCGTTGCAAATATAAACTACGATAGACAGACATGTAATCTATAGCTACCCTTACTGTTGTCACACACCTACTATATTTCACTTGATCAACATACAATCATTTATTACATACTTAGTAATAAATATAGGATTTTTGCATATACGTGATATCCATGCAGGGCTGATACTGATCAATATCACACCCTTAGTAAATTAAAACACAAAAACAGTATTTGTGATCATACACAATTTTTTGGAGGGTTCATATTCTCTTAATTTTAACTTTTTGAAAAATATAAGGATAATCTATTAATTTACAAATTATAGATTATTTTCAAATTACGGATCAACTGCATTGAAATAGAAATAGAAACAAACCCAAACCATATGAGACAATAGACCATGTACATGTATGTAAGAAGTCCATGAATGATTTTTTTACTTATTTTCTTCTCAACTTAATGTGTGCTGTATTTTATTACTAAGTATGTAATAAACATAATAATACATATATACCCTTTTCCACATCACATCCTGTGTCAGCTCGAGACACCAATATCAGCCAGAGGGCCGAAGGCCTGAGGGCTGATATTGGTGTCTCGGGCTGATACAGGATGTGATATGGAAAAGGGTATGTATTATTCTCTATATATATCAATATCTATCATATACATATGAATGTTCATGTGACTACGTAAGAAGGGCAAGTGGGGTGAGGCATTACCTGTACCTATTATGTACATTCTCCCACAGCTACCACAGCTCTGTCAATATCTGTTCAGTCCAGTCAGCAGTTGTCAAATAATGTACATATGTATCATGCAGTGCAGTGCAAAAGTGTTAGTGTAAGAATCTGAAATTTATAACTACTACAATAAGGACAGCCAAATGTTTTGTTTTCAATTTACATGTACTTCTATATAAAGTAGATACATGTAATATAATACAAAACAGACAGACAGACGAACATACAAACAGACATCCCAATCGCTATAGCTATATATACCCTTCCACTTTTCAAGCAGGGGTATAAAATTCTTAACTATGTACTGGTTAGGTAAACAAGTGCTGTATGGTAGACTTTCTTACCAATCGCTGGTGGACCAATTCCGATTGAATCACCAAAGATTCAATGCACACAGAAGTCACAATAGAAAATCACAGTTCACAGTGTTGATCACTATTTTACTTAGGCTAAAGTCAGCCAGCACAAAACTCTCAGTGTTGACAGTTAAAACATGTAGCTCTCACAAGGAGGAAGGTAGAGGTTGACCATCATTCATCAGCTAACTGCTTTATCCCGTGTAGGCACCATCCATCATCAGCAACCAACTAGAGCACCAAAATGTGAAGAATATGTGACGCATAATTATGGGTCCATTATTCATTTAATATTGCAGTGTTGATATGGATGGATTCAGATGTAGTGGTCAAAATAGCCCTATATTAGGAATAAACAATATTAAGCATAAACGAGATGTGTTTGTGAAACAAATGATGCCCTCACATGGTGGATACGTGAGGGTTGATGTTTCTCAGATGCAAGTCAAACTCCAAAGGTCAAGGTCAAAAGATTAAAATTGTTGATATCCAAAAGAAGTCTTGTTAATACTAAGAACACACTTGTGAAATATAAAAGCCCTAAGTGCTAACTGTTCCAAAGTTAAGAAAATATTACCAAGGTTAAAGTTTTCAAAACTCAGGGTCAAACTCTTAGGTCAAAGTCAAAAATATCTATACCCTATGAAGGCTTAGTCAAATATTACCGGTAATACACGTGTTAACCTAGCCCCAACTCAGGGCTTGTAGATCTTGAAAAAGAACCCTGTCTCAATTGAACATTAACTAGCTAATTGATTTTTCTGTGCTTTTTATTACTCAAAAAACTTTTTAATAATTTAAGGATTTATCAATATGTGAATAGGGAAGAAGCCTTCAAATTGTCACTTTTTTTAACCATAAAACTTCACATACATGGGAAATGCCATAGACCCATATGCACCCACTTAAAAGTTTTGGGCAAGGTTAATTTTTTGCATACAAACAGGCAGATGGACAGGACAAAAACTATATAACCCCAAATTTAAATTACCCGTTACTTATGAAGGCACAAAAATGTAATTAAAATGCACATTTCTCCTTACATACAGATCTGACTAGCTAGATTAAGACCCAACTGTACTTTTTTCAATTTATTCTAAGGTTTTACTTACCTTGACTGGACCAGGTCCAGTGTATGTTCCTTCCCAAATTTGTTCATATGCTGGAAGAAGTCAGTCACCATTGACAACTAAAATAGATCATAAAGAAATTAAAAGACTCAAACAAAATTTGCTCTAGATTAAAAGAAAAACAAGATATGTTTGTGAAACACTGATGCCCCTGTATGGCAGCTTAAGGCTGAGGTTGAAGTTTCTCAAATGCACGTCACACTCCAAGACCAAAAGGCCAAAATTGTTGGTATCAAGAGTAAGGTCTTTTCACAATGAAAACACCAGGTCCTGTGAAGTATGAAAGCTGTAGTATTTATTTACAGTTTAAATGTTATGGCCAAGGTGTAAGTTTTTTTACAACATGGGCCAAACTTTAAGGTCAATGTCAAAAGGTCCAATTTTTTATACCTGTTAAAAGGTCTAATCCCTATGAATACGTATGTGAAGTATGAAAGTCCAATCATCAATTGTTCATGAGATATGGCCAAGGTTAAAGTTTGTTTTTTTTTTTGGTGAAATTGGGTCAAAATCTATGGTCAAGGTCAAGAGATCAAAGTTGTTGGTACCTAAAGAAAGGTCATGCCGCAAGGAATACACCTGTGAAATAAGAAAGCCATATAGCCCCATCCAATAAAAAATTATGGGTAAAGTTAGTTTTTGTCCACAAAGACAAACAGATAAGCAGACAGGTGGATGGACAGAACAAAAACTATACATGTATACCACTGGATCTTAATTACAGCAGCATAAAAATTAACAATAAACTTACAAGCTAATATGCATATTAATATATTAAGGACGATCCCAGCAGGCACACAACATTGAATAAACTTTGAATCAACGTTGTTTTTCTATGTTGATTCAACATTGATTTTATGTTAGATTTTGAAAATTTGTATCAACGTTGAAGTCTTAACATTGAATCAACATTGATAATCAACGTTGATTATATGTTGAAAAACAGTTGATTCAACATTTATTCAATTATTTATTTTGGAAAGGGGGTTGTCATATAGTGATAATATACTTTCTTAAAATTTCAACCGTTTCATTGCACGGTTGCTAAGATGCCTTAGTTATTGTGTTAAAGGGATAGCGACCCTCTGATAAGACAGATAACTTTCAGAGTACTAAATAGTAATACTACTCACAGCTTTCTTACTCAGTTTTCTGAGACCTCTGAGTAGTCACTTTGATGAGATCAAACATAGGATGGAAACATTACTTTCTATTTCTTTTGAAAATTTCTTTGTAATTGTTTTATTACATTCAACAACAAAACATTTAAATCCAACATTAAATTCCTTATAAATTGAATAAGTTGTATTTTTTTAAGTACCATTTTAAAAATGGTCTAATATTTTAAGTACTTAATACAGTATTTTAATTAGAATGATTTTTTTTTTTCACATGAAGAAATATTTAGAAGAAAGATAACTCCTCATCACAGATAAATTTTTTTTCTTACAACCACATACAACATTGTGATTTTCCGACTTGGGAAACATCGCTCCATGATGTTTTCTAACATGATTTAAATAGATATAATAGTAAGTATTATTTTCATATGCACCTCATATATTATATTTAATGTTGTGGTAATAAATCGTTGCTCTTTCTATTCTCTGTGTTCAATTTCTTCATTTCATGATCTGCACATAAAAATCATTTCTGAAAAAATAAGCAGTGCTTTATACTTCAAACTATTTTCCATGTGGTTCTAATGTTATGTAACATACGGTATATCACTATATGAAGAAAAAATTTATATTGTAAACAGTAAGTGTTTAATTTCCTATCAATAGTTAATTGTGTTACAATAATTTTCACCAAAATACATTTTATAAATTAATCATGTTACAAAACCCGAGCATTTACAAACGTTTGTATTTTCACATGTGATCATGAAATAGTCCAGAACATGAAACCATTCCAAGGTAAGATGCAAATCTTATACGGTACAACTTTTGATGCACCAGATATGCATTTCGGCAAATTATGTCTCTTCAATGATACTAGTACTCTGACATGCCGAAATGTTTTCTTTAAAGAGTATTTTTTTTTAAATTAAATCTTGGTGTTGAGTCCTGAGGGTTGTGTTATGCTGTCTTTTTGAATATTTTCCGGATGTCCTACTGCGTATGCTCTTAATTCGTACTTTGGCAAATTCGTACTGAATGTGTAAAATTCCTATATTTACTATCCTTGTTAGTTATAATAGTTAGTAATGATATACGGTAGTGCGACTTTGTCAAGTCCGACCTCGTTATGGTCCGACAGTGTTATAGTCCGACACTATCATAGTCCAAATTATCTATCAGCGAAAAATAGGATTGGCCCGCTGGCGAAGATCCGACGTAATCAATGTTGGCAATTCATAATAATTCAATGTTGATTCAACGTTAAATTTTCAACGTTGAAAAGTCAACGTTGAATCAATATTGTATCTAGATTTATCAACGTCTAAACCCAACTTCAACTAATATTCAACGTTTAAACAACGTTGTGTGCCTGCTGGGATAGCTCTTGCATCTCCTTTCATTTTGAATTAATTTATTTACAAGTTATTTCCCGTGATTGTATGAACATTAATTTTGAAATTTGACATTATATATATATTATTACGTAATAAATACATTTCAATGCCTACACCTGCCCCCCCCCCCCCCCCCCCCCCTCGAGATTTTTGTGCTCCGTAACTGTGTTTATCTGTTTATGGAGCGAGGCAAACTCAATAAAGCTGCATGAATATGTCTGGTATACTATATACATATATATAATTATACATACATACCAATAATCTGTCAGGTTTCAGTTTTGTCAGGATGGTTCAAATATGGAAAACTTCATAATAGATACGGTAAGCGTCTCTAATTAGAGCTTTCCTCAAAGAAACTTGTCTTTTTGATGAACAAAGGCAGTTCACTAATAGCGGGAAAAATTCTAAAGCAAGGCTATTGATTCTTCAAACCACATGACATGTATCACATGTCTGAATTTGGCCAAATAGGTAATATAGCCATAGGCATTTATATACCGATTAAAAGAGTAATGATCATTCAATAGCACAAGAGAATATGGCAATACAGGAACGTGTATCCAATTCACAGTGTACATCAATGGCGGATTTAGAGAGGGCCAAGCCTCCCCTCCCTTTTTGTGTCCAAAATATACAAAAAAAGATTAATTCTTGGGGTGGCTGTGCGCCCCTCCCCCGATCTCTCCCTTTACAGGATTCCTAGATCCGCCACTGATATAGAGTAGAATTTATTACCAAATGAATATAAAACAAATATAAATTTAGTTCACCTCAAAAGTGTGTACACACTGCGTTTCTTTTTCTGCGCCCGGATCGATAGATCCGAGGCGTATATTGTTTTTGTCTTGTCCTGTCTGTCTGTTTGTTTGTTTGTTTGTTTATCTGCAAACTTTAACCTTCGCCATCACTTTTGAAAGATGAAAGGTAGAGACTTCATATTTGGTAAGCATACTTCACTAATTAGGTTCTTTCAAATGACACCAACGTTAATGACCTTGTGACCTTGAATGTGACCTATATGCTAAATATAGCTTTTATGTCTGCAAACTTTAACCTTCGCCATAACTTTTGAACCTTGAAAGATAGAGACTTTATATTTGGTTTGTATATTCCATTAATAAAGTTCTTTCAAATGACACCAGGGTCGATGACCTGGTGACCTTGACTGGGCCTTTATGCTAAATACAGCTTTTGCGTACCTTCGCCATATTTTTTTTAACCATAAGAGATAGAGACTTCATATTTGATGTGCATACGCCACTAATCAAGTTCTTTCAAATGACACCAAGGTCAATGACCTTGACTGTTATGCTAAAATAGCTTTTACGAATTTTGTTGCCGCCGGGCGCATAGTGTTTCACAAACACATCTTGTTCCTTTCATATTTTGTCCGGCGGCAGTCTGCCTTTCCCTCCGTCTGTAAACCTTTCACGTTTTTGACTTCATCTCAAGAATCACTGGATCAGTTTTAACCAAACTTGCCACAAAGTATTCTTGAGTGAAGGAGAATTAAGTATAAAGGTCAAATGAAGGGTCACACCCTCATTCAAGGGGAGATAATTCAGAAATAGTGAAAATTTGGTGGCATGTTTTGAAAACATTCTTCTCAAGAACTACTTTGCCAGGAAAAATGAAACTTATGGATGAAACATCCTCAAGTAGTGTAGATTCGAGTTTGCTCAAATCATGACTCCGGGGGTAGGGCGGGGCCACAATGGCGGATCAAAGTTTTACAAAGAAATATAGGAAAATTCTTTAAAAATCTTCTCAAGGATAAGTCATGATTAGTCATATTTTGATAAGGAAGCATCGTCAAGTAGTGTAGATTCAATCATGACCCCCCTCAATGGCTAATCAAAGTTTTACATAGCAATTTATAGGTATCACAGATGTTATATTTTAATGTGTTCTTATAATTGGCGCGCATTGCCAATTAAGCACGTTCGCTGCGTTTGTTTGTGTTGTGTGTCTAGTGTGAATGGTTTGAGAGATCATGTGACATTGGTTAGTTTCGTATTTACACGTGTTTCCGGTTAGGTGACCTAATGTGACCTTACTGCTGACCAATGACTCACCGTTTTTATCTCATTAATATGCAAGTTTTAATATCTGCACTCAGTATATAAGCAATGTACCTGCCAAATTCTTTACCCCACGATTTTTGCCTCTACGGTAGAAGACAGAATTTGCGTTATATGATACTAAGAAGATTTACTTGGTTTAATATATAACTGGATTCCTGGTAAGCTTTCTGTTTACCTTTATTTTAATTATCATGTAAACATATTTTGCTTTTATTTATTAATCCAGACAGCGAACAATCAAAAATTGCATGTGTTGTTAATGTCTGTCCTTAAATGTAAAGTATTTGTTTTGTGCATGTATTGTGTTGTGAGAGTGTGTTTAATTTATACTTTGTATGTTTATTGTTCTAAGCACGTAAATAAATACTGTTTTTGCCGAATTCAGTGTTGGAAATTTTCCTACAAAAGACCTGGTGACCAGTAGTAATACTGGTAGAACTCTGAACGCACCCAATGTTAGTTTGATGACGCAACCTTTAAATATAGAATGCATCCTTCTTGTCAATTCAAAATCTGACCGACTCACAATAACGCCGAATTCTTTGCCCAATGCTATTTGAACAGTGTTTTTATGAGATGGGCACAGAAAGCGGCGGATCTATAAAAATCAAATCTGAATGTTCTAAATAACTATTGAAATTATTAAGATTATGATAAACAAAACTTTTCCGAGAAATTTCTTTCAGGGCAATTTTTTTTTTATTAAAAATAATGTGGTATTCGAACCCTAAGCAAGAATACCACAGGCACGTAGCATCGTTTTTGAAAGTCTGGGGGGGGGGGGGCAACCAGAGAAAAAATTTTTTTTACTTACCTGAAAAAGTTGACAAGCCAAAAAAAAAAAAAAAAAAAAAAAAAAAAAAGAAAAAAAAACAACACACACACACTCACACACTCACACACAAAAGGGAAATAGCCCAAACTCGAAAAATCCTATTTCCGGTGGGGGGTGGGGTGGGGGGGGGTGGGGGGCTGGGGGGGGTAGTGGCTAACTTTTTTTCAAGGCCAACTTCCTTTCACTTACAATTTTTTCCATACAATACTACATATCCTTCATATCATTATACTATGGTAAGAAATGGAGGGCAACCAACCTTTCAATATACATTTTCAATAGTAAAGGTAACGTTGGGAAAAAAAGTGGGGGGGGGGGGGGCAGGCCCTCCCCCCTGTTGCTACGTCCCTGTACCATTTATATTTTCTCGAAAAGATGCGAATGTTATATGTCATAAAAAGTAAATTTTAAATTAGCCGCAAAGAACTGCGAACGGTAGTATTGTTCTCCCGCCTACCTCCAAGTCAATTTTCAAAAGTTAACATATTCGATGAATTCTTAAAATATTTTGCTATTTGTGCTCTTTTTCTGACCAGTGTGCATTGTCAAGGCAACCCAAATATTATTTCATGTTTTTAATGTTGACATCCAGACAAATCTTTTCATATGTAATACATGTATCTTCAGGTCTGTATTTTTCATTTAGGAAGCATTTTTGGAAAATCTTATTTCAGTTATTTCAGTAACCAAAGACTTGTGGCCTGCTGCAGCTAATGCAGAAAAAATATCCCCAATTTTATTGATGCCAGTAGCAACTGCATGTGTCCATATTGCTTTGAATTTTAGTCAAAGCATTTAAAATTTGCTTTGAATCTGATGATAGTTCATCATCAAATGACCCCAGGATATAAAGGACATCCTCTTCGCGGCCAGTAGCCGTGATGAGTAATAATACAATTAAATAAAAACAAGATGTGTTTGTGAAACACTATGCACCCGGCGGCATCAAAGTTCGGAAAAAAACTATTTTTAGCATATATGTCACAGTCAAGGTCACAAGATCATTGACCTTGGTATCATTTGAAAGAAATTGATTTGTGGAATATGTATACCAAATATGAAGTCTCTATCTCTCATGGTTCAAAAGTTGTAATGAAGGTTGAAAAAGCTATTTTTAGCATATAGGTCACAGTCAGGGTCACAAGGTCGTTAATCTTGGTGTCATTTGAAAAGACTAAATGAGTGGAGTACGTACGCTTACGAAATATGAATTTAAGTCTCTATCTTTATTAGCTCAAAGGTTATGGCGAAGATTCAAGTTTGAAGTCAAAAAAGCTTTTTTTAGCTTAAAGGTCACAGTCAAGGTCACAAGGTGATTTAACTTAATAGTAGAGTTAGCATACCAAATATGAAGTCTCTATCTTTCATGGTTCAAAAGTTACGACAAAGGTTGAAGTTTGCAGAAAAAAGTTATTTTTAGCATATACATATGTAGGTCATTGACCTTGTTGTCATTGGAAAGAACTTTATTAGAGGAGTATGCATATCAAATTAATTTACTGCGCATTAATAAACCGAGGCCAGATGAACTAGCGCTATCTCATGTGGTTCCGTAATGAACTGGACAGTAATGAAGTAGAATTCACTACTTCTTATTTTAAAAGATTATTGGTTAAAAATTACCCATCTTGATAAGCAACTCATTAGACATAATCCATATTTTTTTTCTTTATTTGTTAAATAATGGACATTCAATCAGTGAATGGATCTCATCTTCCATATTATACAAAGGCCACCACAAATAGATCAGCCGCCCGTGCCGAATATATTACTCGAGTAATCTAGGTACGAGTGGATTTGAATTACAAATGTCAAGTAGCAACCAATGAAATGTAGAGTTTTTTTTAATGCTTACCTTAACACCAGCATGGCAGAAGGCGGAACTAGTGAAAGTGAAAGTATGCAACATAATTTGGAGAAGGAGAAAGATGAAATATCTGGATTATTAAAACGCGAGCTGAAACATAGTGATATATGGTATGTGGACTTTTGCTTCTCATTTTTTTTGTGTGCTGTTATACCACCACCAGAAAACCTTATTCACCACTTTACTTTCCCTTGAGCTGCCCGTGTCCTGCTGGGTCACTATGTTATGTTTCAGATTTTGAAATGACCATTGACTTTTATATAATTATGAAAATATGCAAAAGCCCACCCTTTAAAAACTAAACCTTATCTTAAGCTCGATGGGACCGAGAAAAAGCATCGAGATATAGTCCAATCCACACTTTACAAAAGTTGTGTCCCTTTGCGGGGTCAACCAAAAGGTCAAAAAGGAAAGAAACAACATTTCTCCTCTTTATGCTACCAAACATTTGGGCGGGCTATGATGAATCCACTGTGTTTAAATTGTTTTCTTTGGACGTGTGGGTAGCCCCAACATGAGGCAATCGGTATACACTATGCAA